TGTGTGTGTGTGTGTGTGTGAATAAGTACCATGCCGAAGCAAATTTCACTTTGTGGAGATCAATGCAATCTCATCTCATCTCATCTCTTTCTTATGTTGAACCATGGTCTGGAGGACCATGACAATGTAAGTCTAGACATTGTTTAGAGAAATTCTGACTGATCTTCAATTAAAGAATCACACAAATTTTCTTCCCACTTAAACTTTAAGTAAATTATCATCATCACCATTATCACATCATGCCAGATCTGCAGCAGACATCGGCGATCATGGTTCTCCATTCAATCCTTTGCCCAGATGCTCTAAAAAAAGCTACTTTTCCCTGTTACCCATTTGTCTAGGTCTCCTAAGTAGGTTGCTCTGTGCCAACCCCTGCTTCGTTTGCCTTCAATTTTGCCAGTGAGAGCTAGATGTTCAAGACCTTTATGTCTATTCAGGTGTCCCAAAAAACTGCATTTTGTCTTTTCCTGATTGTTTTTAACAGTGAGCATCCCACGTGGGCTTCATCAAGCACTACCTCATTTGATTTCTTTTCCTTCCACGATATTCTCAGCTTAAATTAATACGTTATGTAAATGTAATTGGTACATCTTACAGCCTCAACAGCAGAGCTTGATTTACCGCTTCATTATCGATGTTGACCTCAGCGCCCTTCTCGAAAAAAATGGTGAGTGCTCTCATGTAAAGTCATTTTTTGCTTGCTCTGTGTGTTAAATCCTTGCCGTGTGCTTTGTATCAGAACCTTACCTTTTGAATTTTGTGAGAGATGAGTTCATCATAGGGTGGTGAATGAAATAACATGAATTTGAGCTCAGTGTCTTACATTGTTATGTGGGAGAAATATCTTAAATGTAGGCTACATCATGCTTTCGTCTCTGCTCTTTGTTGCAGCATGTATGTTTATATTTGGTGCTCACATAGCTCCTATGTAATAATAATGTGGATCATGTCCTCAGAGCTTTGCAGCATATATTCTATTAAATTATTCACACTATTTATAATTAACATGTTATAATGCACTCGGCTGTCCTTTTCCTGTATGGATTCCTTACCTCATTGATGGTCAGATGCACTGACGTCTCATGACAGATGCCTCCTCTCCCCTTGTTCTTTTTGATGCGTGCTGATGACTCTGTACTGGTGAAACACATTTTGTCTGTACTCTCCAGTGCTGCTGATGCAGATGATAGTTTGTAACACAACTCTGATGATTCTGTGGATATCAAGCTCAGTATGATTTTTTTAGGGTTAAAAACAGCTTAAAGACCAGTCCATACCACGGATATCATGTCCATACATAAAAAACTGCTTATTTTTCACAACTATTGGTTGTCTTGGGTGATAGAATTTATCACAATTTTGCACAAGTGTTTCTTGTTTATTGTGCTGCTTTTATTTTATTTTCAGCTCCTCTTGGGAATACTGTCCTGCTGTCTGCCCTTGAGGGAACAAACTTGTTCCAGGAGGTAATGTTTGCTTTTGTGTAAACTATTCATACAATATAAGTGACTAGATCAATCCTAAAGTATCACTCTTTTGTCATCTTTGTTGGGAAATGTCTTCCATATTCTTCTGTGCGGTTTTAAAAAAATTGAATGTTTGAATTGTCATGCCAAATTTTTGGCTAAACTATATCTTCTGTTTTTCATTTTATAGAGGTTAATGAGTACAATAAAAGAGGTTTTTTTTTAATGTGTTTTTTTGTTGCTGTTGTTTTGTGTTTTTTTGGGAGGGGGGGGGGGGGGTTGAATTAATAAATCTTATCTTCTTTTTATATGTCCAAGTTTTGCTTCGTCTTCTTTGCTTGCCATCGTTTCGTTCGTAAGTTTTTTTTATTGTAGCCTTCCTACTTTTTTTCTTACCCAGATGTTGAGGGGAATTCCCTCTTCACAGGGCAAAAGTATTGTGTAATTTTTAAGAGCGGTGCAATGGTATGATATAATATGTCGTGCTTTCTCTGGTTATTCTAATTTTGTGAAAATATACACACAGGTTGCTTATGATGCCAACAATATTCTTTCTATTAAAGTAAAAGATAAGGGTAAGAATAGAGGGATTTCTTTGGTTGTGGCTTAGAGCTGTTTAAAGTCTTGTGTAAGTAATTATTTCCATTATATGTTTCAGCTGGAGATTGGAAGACAATGTCACTCATAGTATATTATGTTTCTTCCCACCCCTGCCATGTACCTGTAGATATCTTACGTGACATTCACAAGTGTCAATGAGTGCATGACATGTTGTTCATCTAGGTTTTTTTCTTCTGAAATCTGTCCTCAGGTTTTGTTTGGACATTGTCGGGCAAATGAGCTCCTCCCACCGGACGTGACATCATCACAGATTTTCACCAAGCTGCAAGTCACAAACTTCCCCGTCATTTTGCACCAGTGGGTAGTTGGGAGATTTTTACCTCTTCTTTTGAGATGTTCTTCTTTTGAGATGTGTATAGAGTGGAGGGTTCTGTGATGTTCTTCTTTTGAGATGTGTATAGAGAGGGTTCAGTGATGTTCTTCTTTTGAGATGTGTATAGAGAGGGTTCTGTGATGTTCTTCTTTTGAGATGTGTATAGAGTGGAGGGTTCTGTGATGTTCTTCTTTTGAGATGTGTATAGAGAGGAGGGGTCAGTGATGTTCTTCTTTTGAGATGTGTATAGAGTGGGTTCTGTGATGTTCTTCTTTTGAGATGTGTATAGAGGGGGGGGGTCAGTGATGTTCTTCTTTTGAGAGGTGTATAGAGTGGAGGGTTCTGTGATGTTCTTCTTTTGAGATGTGTATAGAGTGGAGGGTTCAGAGATGTTCTTCTTTTGAGATGTGTATAGAGTGGAGGGTTCAGTGATGTTCTTCTTTTGAGATGTGTATAGAGTGGAGGGTTCAGTGATGTTCTTCTTTTGAGATGTGTATAGAGTGGAGGGTTCAGTGATGT